TTGCCCGATATGGAGACAGAGAGGTCCAGGAAGGGGAGAGAGGTGTTTTAACCAGTTGCTTAGATTTTCAATCTTCAAGCAACTTGCTATGTTAATTAAAAACCGAAAGCACTGTGGATGCTGTAAATCGGGAACAAAAACAAAGTTGCTGGAAAAGCTCAGCAGGTCTGGCAGCATCTGTGAAGGAGAAAAGAGTTAATGTTTTTGCAGTTCTGAGGAAGGGTCACCGGACCTGAAATGTTAACTCTGTTTTCTCCTTCACAGATGCTGCCAAACTTGCTGAGCTTTTCCAGCAACTTTGTTTTTGTTGCTGTGTTAATTATTGGATGTTTGTGTTTAAGAGTGAGTTCAGAGTTGTTGCATTTTTCCCTTGGCTGGGGGATAAATATTTCTGTCCTCACTTTGTCATTTTCACTGTGCCTCTCTTTGTTGCCTGCCTCCTCCACAGGATGCTCAACGCCCTATTCCTCATCCTGATGTCTCCCGTCACTACCTTGCTGATGTGCATTTACCTGTACCACGAACTGGCAGAATACCCCATCACTTTGCTGGAATGCTGGCAGCTCCTCCTGCAGGCTGTTGCTGAATCTATTCTCGACCACCACCTGTACAGCTCCATTGTTTACCCCTTCGTTGTGTTCTTCATCTACCCCAGCTGGCTCCTGCTGTGGAACGTGGTCTTCTGGAACTGACAGAGCACACACATCTCCCTCCTTGGCCCCACCCAGTAAGACACACATTCCCCCCCCCCCCCCCCCCCACACACACACACACACACACACACACACACACACAAAACCCCGGGTGACCTGGTTGAAGGCACTGATGGGTCGGAGGGGCAACGGAATTGAGGGTCTTTTATTGAACAACACTACGTCTCATTCTGGGGTTGGTGAGGTTTTAATTTGACTGCATGGGGAGACAGGGAAGGGGCCAGAGAATAGGACAACATGGGGTTGGGCGGGGGAGGGTTTGGAGGGACAATTCACTTGGAGAGGTAAGAAAAAGTGTGGGAGCTGAGGAGGTTGTCCATGTGAGGTGGCAGGTGATTGGATTACAAGAGGGAATGGGTGGGTGAAATGAGCTGGGGACTGAGGTCAGATGGTGGTGTCACTGGGAAGATAAGCCCCTTTTTTATAGGGTCCTGTGGCAGAATTGTATCCCTGGCAGCAAGTGGGGCTCTTGATAAAGTTGCTGAATAAGGAAGTTTGTCATGATCGGGGGGAAAGCCAAATAGAATGGTTTTGTGATAGAATGAAACTTAGACACTTCTCCTTTTCATCTACACCAAGTCTTTGTATCACCGAAGAATGTCACCACGATGTTTAAACCCACCTCGGATCCGGTCAAGATTTTAGACCATATCCCAGCACCAAATCCAGTGTTTTAATGTAACTTCTAGATGTTTGTATTTGGGTTGAGTAAGGAGCTATGGTCCATGACCTTTAAGCAGTTCTTGCTCAGATCATTTCTCCCTGTACATGTGCTAGTTCGAAGTCAGAAACACCTCTCAATGAAATTACTGAATGCTTCTGTTTACATTTGAGTGAGGAGCTGCCTCACTGCTGAGTTTATAATGTTGAAAATTGTTCCTTGTGTAAATAGTTGATTGGATTTTTAAAAAAAGGTGAGAATAAAAACATAAATATTTATTTTGCAGGGATTTCAGTTCTTTGTGCCAGTATCAAATAGCATAAAAGAGCATAAAAGAAATTAATAATTTGCATTTGTATAGCTCCTGTTCTCTACTCTCAGGATGTATCGAAATGTTTTACAGCCAGTGAACTGTTCTATTCTGAAGTACAGTTATTGTTGTTATGCAGGAGAAAGAGCATCCAATTTGTACACAGCAAGTTCCCACAAATATTGTGATAGATAGACACATCATCTTTATCATTGAAGTTGTTAGATGGATAAATATTGATCATAGATATCAAGGAGAGCTCTGATATAAAAACAGAGAACTATGAATGCTGGAGATTTGAAATGAATAACTGGCAAAACTCAGCAGGTCTGGCAACATCTGTGTAGAGAGAAACAGAGTTAATATTTCAAGTCCAGTGACACTGCATCAGGACTCCTGCAGTATATCCAGTAGTGGCTGCAGGGTTTTATATCGGCCGGGGGGTACAGATGGGGCTTCTTTTAACATTTTAGAAATGTGGCACCCCTGAGATTTCTAGACATAAGATTCCCCACAGTATTGGAAGAGGAGCAGGGCCAGTCTTTGTCATTTGTTGTTTGTGGGACCTTGCTGTGCTTAAGTCTGACATCACTACAGTGGCTAGTGACGTCCTCGTGGACTGACAGATCCATACCCTCTCTAAAATTAGTGTTGGGAGTCCCATTTCATCAGTGATTCAAGAGGTAACTAAGTGAATAAACAGAGCTGTAGAGAGGGATTTAAATGTATAAAAAGGAAGAAAGGCCAAAGTGAATATGGGCTCTTTAGAAAATGACATTGGGGAAGTAATAACAAGGAACCAGGAAATGCAATACAATGAAGATTGATACAAAGTTGAGGACAATAATAGCATTCAAACACTGCAAAAAAGGGCGCTAGTGTGAGAGTATCTGGGAGAGTGGTAATAGGAAATAAATGCAATAACTATCACTGAGAAAATATGCTAGAGAAACTAACGGGGCTATGAAAAATAAAAACAAAAGAACTGCAGATGCGGGAAGTCTGAAACAAAAGCAGAAATCACTGGAAAATCTCAGCACCATTTGTGCAGAGAAATCAGAGTTAACATGTTGGGTCCAGTGACCCTTCCTCAGACTGGGGTTACAGGCTGATAGTCCCCTGGCCCTGATGGATTACAGCCCAGAATTTTAAAGGAAGTAGTGACAGAGATCGTGAATGCACTGGGAGTAATTCATTGTCACATGTATTCAATATAAAATAGTGAAAAGTTCATACCATCACCATGCATTGGTGCCATTTCATTAGCTTAAAACAAAATAACTGAGAGTGTCCAAATTTTCCTTCTCCGCTAATACCATCCACTTATGACATTACACTTCACCAGATCCAAACTAGCCTGGTCCCTGGTTGGATCCACAATATATTCTTATAGGAACCTGTTCCCAAATACACTCGATGAATCCTGTGTTATTGGCTTCCTTTACTAATCTGACTATCCCAATCAAGGTTAAAGTCACCCATAACTCATGTACAGCCTGTGTTACATGCCCTCATTATCTCCTCAGTTATTCTGTATCCCACTATATAGCTACTGTTAGAGGACCTATAGACTACTCCTATTAGTATCTTTTATTTTGTTAAACTACACCCATGTGGATTCTGCATCTTCTGAGTCAAGATAATTTCATTATCATACTTATTCAATCTTGTCTTAAGAAGGCTACCCCACCACCGTTTCCTTCCTGCTTGTCCTTCTGAAAGGCCACATACCCGTGAATATGTGGTTCCCAGGTTTGATCTCATAACCATGTCTCTCTAATGGTTCAATGAAGAGTCGCTGGTCTCCTAGTCCAGGAAGGACGTTCTTGCTATTGAGGGAGTCCAGTGAAAGGTTCACCAGACTAATTCCTGGGATGGCAGGACTAACAGGAGGAAAGACTGGATCGACTGGGCTTGTTTTCGGATTTTAGGAGAATGGCGGGGGCGGTGGATCTCATAGAAACATATAAAATCCTGATGGGAATGGACAGGCTAGATGTGGGAAGAATGTTCCTGATGTTGGGCAAGTCCAGAACTAGGGGTCACAGTCTAAGAATAAGGGGTAAGCTATTCAGGACTGGGATGAGGAAGAATTTCTTCACGTGGAGAATTATGAACCTGTGGAATTCTTTCCCACAGGAAGCTGTTGGAGCCACTTCATTCGATAGATTCAAGAGGGAGCTGGACATGACCTGAATGGTTAAAGGGATGAAGGGGCTGGGGAGAGTGTTTTAGTACCTCAAGTGGCAGAGGGAAGTGGATGATCAGTTGACATCATAGTACACACATTCCCATCCAGAATACACTGCACAGAACACAAAATATCAGCACATTATCCATAGTAACTTATAAAATAAACTTTATTTTCATTTCTGTACATTGAGGCTTTGTTTAACAAAAAACCATCAATAATGAGTGTCACAGAGTGAGATGATTTGATCAGCTTCTCCATCTGAGTATACACACACATCTCACCAGCCAGTGACTGGGTGACACCTTCCTTTTGTTGTCTGTGAGTCTGAAAGGGTTAATACTGAACAGTGCTCTAAGCACCTGCTGTCATTTAGGCAGAACAGCTTAGAATCTTGAAGGAGTAAGACCCAACATCTTTGTGTTCTCTGGTTATACTGGGGAGACTGACGTGTTGACATTACTCCCAAACAATTTGTGGTCATTTTTTGTCCATCTGGGATAGTATAGACGAAGGGGAAAGGCTTTGAGTCACACGTGAAGAAAAATCACATGTTCTCCATCCCTGCTGACTCAAGAGTCTATCTCCCCTAATAAGTGTATAATTTGCACATTGTGAGTATGTGAGAGAAACCGTGTCTACATATCTGCTTAATTATTTAATAGCAAGCTACTGATATTTTTATTCAGCCTGTTCAAGCAGGTGGGACTTGACACTAGCCTCCTAGATTAGTGTCAGGGACACTACCACTGCACCACAAGACCCTGCTACCAGTGAAATACTGCATTCCCAGTTAATTAGCAGATTTGCATTCCCCGACAATTAGCAGCAATTTTGAAAACCAATCTGGAGAAGTCATCTTCAGGAAATGACAGAAGGCTAGTGAGAATGAGAGACCCAGAGCTCATTCCGCTCGTGTTTCTAGTTAGTTCCAACAAGGATTCAAACATTGAGGATGTGGATTTGGTATTGCTGAAAAGGAAGGTATGCTGTTGAAACTTTTAATGTTGCATTCATCAGGACAGAATGGCAAGAATACTGAATTGGGTTTGTTCTGATGCATACAAAATGTTTTTGACATTGTGGCTCTTCCATTCACAATACACAAGTCCTGTATGTCAGTGACTATGTATACTTTTTTGAATTCAGGGGATATTGAGGTCACTGACTGGGCCCAGCATTTATTGCCCATCCCTAGTTGTCCCTTGAGAATGTGGTTGTGAGCTGCCTCCTTGAACCGCTGTAGGTTGGCCAACAATGACCTTAGGGAGGGAATTCCAGGTTTTGATCCAATCTCACTGAGGTGATTAAAACAATAACTGAATTTGTCAGTTGGGAACCCATCAGGCCAGGGGTGGGGTACGTTGTACAGAACACAGCCTGCTCAATCAAATCGTAGCTTACCTGCCTTACAACTCCACTCAAAACATCTTTTGCTCCAAACATCTATTACTCAACAGTTATACTGTAATCTCAATCTGATGGGCTTGTATGTCACAGTAGTAGTGCCCCTACATCGGAGGCAGGAAGCTCAAGAGGTGTGCAATGACAACTCAGAACAAGTTGTTTAGAAACCATCTCAACCCCAACTGATACCCAGTATCCACATCCTATTGTGGGAGAAAATGCTTGTTACCATCACCCCTAAACGGCCTGGTTCGGATGGTAAGGCTATGACCTCTCCCCCGCCCCAACACCCTCCACTTTGGGAAACAAGGTCTGCAGTGCCCAAGTAGGTGTTCACCAGCTCCTGCTCAGGGCAACAAGGGATGGGAAAATAACTTGCAGACCCCAGAATGAATTCCAGAGAGAGATGATTAAGAGTCACCAGACTCAAAACATTCACTTTGCCTTCTCCCCACAGATGCTGCCAGCCCTGCTGGGTTTCCTCAGTAATGTCTGTTTTTGTAATAAAGCCCAGCACCCTGATTTCCTGGCCTTGTGTACATTTCTCAATCAGCGTACTTTTGGTTCAATTCAGTACCACCACTGAGAACTGCTCATGCCCAGCCCCTAGAGATCATAGGGAAAAGCCAAATACAGTAGGTGCTGCAAACCGAAACCAGAAACAGAAACCAGATGGTGGAGACCCTGTGGGGGTCAGGCAGTGTCAATGCAGACACAAACAGGGTCAGAAACATCGAGCTCTCTCTTCCTTCACAGATGATGCCTGTCGTCCTGCTGCGTGTTTCTAAAAGTTTCTGTTTCCACGACATTGGCTCGCACAGCATGACATACATACAGATCTCTGTTAACAGGAGCATATCCTGGCTCTGCAGTTAAATACTGAGAACTGTAACACACATTTACAACAATAACAAGTTAGAAAAATACAAACTCCCATTCAGAGGCTAAACAGCACCTCTAAATAAATGGCTGCGCATTGTAGATAAGAGTAGAAACTACCCCAAAAACCCACACTCACGAAGCCAAACGACAAAATGTATACACTGTTAGATTCCATGATTGCACACAATCTCCTGAACAATCCCTGAGGATGCCAGCAGCTACACCCTCAAGCCATTTAAGATAACCCTTTGAGATTGTAACATAGCTCATTAGCATTTGCTCGAAGCAGCAGACATTCACATGCAGGGACCCGCTCACTGCAAAAAGAAAAACATTTAAGTCCTGTGTTTTTTTTTTAAACAGTCTATAGTTCTCCATTGCTTTCTCCCTAGTGATACACCAGCCAATCACAGTCAATGTAACAAGCAACCAGCACCCCTTTCTCCTCGTCGATAAACAGTGTGATCGTTTGAAATTTGACATTAGTGTTTGTCCTGATGAATGCAAGACAAATGTTTTCAGCAACTTGTCTCAGCAAGATTCAAGGTTTGTACTAACAAGGTGACTATTTAGAATACTGACTGTACCACTGAGAATCCAAACCCAGTTCTCAATAAATCACACTCATTTGGTTAGGCTGAAGCCATGGCTTAGATAGTTGACTACCCCACTACAAGACTAATTAAACTCAAAATACTTTGGAACAGGATAGTCCCAGAGATACAGGAGCTGAGAACGGCCTGGAAGCTCTTGTCTTGGGGTAATTCTGCAGGATTCAGAAAGTCTGTGGGACTGATGGATCAAGTCTGTGATGGGTGGGGCACACGCAGTCTGGCTAAGGAACCTCACACAATCGGTAGACTAAGGCGTGTTTTATAAAGTGATAGACACCTGGGAATGATTCCAGTTATTTGACCCAGCGTCATCTAAGAGAAACTGGCCAACTGACTTTAGCTGTTTTAGTCACCTGCATTGACAGAAAATGTCTCAGGGAACAATTCAGGTAAATGTAAACTTTCTCCACGCGTTATTCGTAAACACTACCAAAGCTCAGTAGCAGCAGCAGTATGTACCATGTACAAGATGTACTTCAGAAATTCACCAAAGATCCTCAGACAGCACCTTCCAAACCCAAATTTCCATCAAGAAGGACAAGGGCAGCAATCCCCTCCAAGTCACTCACCATCCTGACTTTGAAATATATTGGCCATTCCTTCACTGTGACTGGGTCAAAATCCCGGAATTCCCTCCCCCAGGGCATTGTGGGTCAACCCACAGCACATGGACTGCAGCGTCTCAAGAAGGCAGCTCACCCCCACCTTCTCAAGGGGCAACTAGGGACGGGCAATAAATGCTGGGCCCAGCCAGTGATACCCATATACTGTAAATGAATTTTAAAAAGACATCTCCCAGTATTCAGTTACAAGGGGAGTGAATCACTCCCAGTCATCAAATAAAACCATTCACCCTCTCAGCAACTATATACACCAACAAATCAACACTGGAAAGTGAAGGTTCGTGAGTCTTTGGTGGGATGTGGGTATTGTTGACAAGGCCAGCATTTATCGGTTGTCTCTAATTGCCCAGAGAGCAGCTAAAAGGCAACCACATGCTGTGGGTTTGGAGTCACACGTAGGCCAGACCAGGGGAAGGACTCCCTTCCCTGAACGACATTGGTGGACAGTGAAAGTTTAATGACCACCATCACAGACACTAGCTTTAGAATCCAGAGGAGCTGCATTTAGATTCCATCAGCCATTGTGGTGGGATTTGAACCCATGTCCCCAGAACAGTGGCCTGCAACCCCGCTCCCCCCCACCCCGCCACCAACACTAGCCTCGTAACATTGCCATTATTCCACCTTCTGCCCAACACCCACAGGCTGTCCGAGCTGCTTGTGAAATGGTCAGCAAAGCTCACACTGGGGGTCCAGCAGCAAGAGGTGGAGCTACCTGTGCATTTCACTGTCCTCACTGGTTAGTTGTGACAGACTGCGTGGGATCAGTGGGTTCTTTAACCTTAACCCCCTCCCCCTCCCACCTCCCTCAGGGGACAGTGAGGTGTCAGTGACAATTCTGACACAGTGGGTGGCAGCGCTGGCCATTGACAAGACAGCGACATCCTCCACTCGTATCTCCAGGTCCCTGCAGCATGGGAGGGGTAATGGGGAAGAAGGTAGAGAGAAGACAGAGAGATTAGTTAGGGAATGGTGGATGCACAGATTGTCATCTTCCAGCAATCCTTAGATACTGGAAAAGTGCCAGATGATTGGAAAATTGGTGTGGTTACAGAGATAGGGGAGGGGGTTGGAGGGTTGGTGTGGACTCGATGGGCTGAATGGCCTGCTTCTACACTGGAGGCAGGGAGTTTGTATAAAGGTATCATTTTCACTGTAAACAGTGGAGTGCCTCAGGGATCAGTGCTGGGACCACAATTACTTACTATATAGAGGGGAGTGCATGTCCTATCACCAGGTTTGTAGATGACACAAAAAAAATAGATGGCAAGGTGAGTGGTGAGGATGGCACAAAGAATCTGCAGAAGGATATAGACAGGTTAAGCAAATGGGGAAAAAAACTTGGCAGATGGAACATAATGTGGGAAAATGTAAGATTATGTATTTTGTAAGGAAGAATAGGAGGTGAATATTGTATAAATGGAGACAGACTGCAGAAAGCTACAGAAGAGAGATTTGGGAGGTCCTCATCCATGAATGGCAAAAATCTCGCATCCAAGTTCATTGGGTAATAGTGAAGGCAAATGGAATGTTTGGCCTTTATAGCGAAGGGAATGGAGTATTAAATTAGGGAGATTTTGCTAATAAAATACAAGGCATGAGTGAGACCATAGCTGGAATACTGTGAACTCTGGCATTGGAGGCAATGCAGAGAATGTCACTTGGTTCTTACCAGGACTTTGTAAACATTTCATTAACAAGAACGTGCCCATCTCCCCCTTTAAAATCAGTTCTGTAGTGGGATCACAAGGCCAGCATTTGTCATTGCCATTAAACTCAGAGCCTGGTTTGGTTATTTCAGAGGGTGGTTAGGAGTCAACCACATTGCTGTGGGTCTGGAGTGACATGGAGGTAAGGATGGCAGATTTCCTTCTTTCAGGCACACGAATAAACCAGTTGGGATTTTACAATAATTGATGTACACATCACCATCACTGACAGTAGTTGAATATTCCAGATTTATTCATTTGAATGCCATAATCTGCTGTGATGGATTCAAACCTGTGCCCCAGAGCACTGGCACGCACCTGTGGATCACCAGCCCACTACCATCTCCCTGGAGCTTCCTTTTAAAATCATTGATTGAATCAGTTTCCACCCCTTTTCCAGCTTGACGTTCCCAATTCCCACAATTCATGAATGGAAACATTCCCCAAACATTTCTTTATCTCCTTCCCCTCAGACTCGAAACAATGGGACCTGGATCAAATGGACTCCCATCACAAAGCACAGGTAAAAAATGCCCTTCGGCCCATTGAGTCTGTGCCAGTCAGTCAAGCTCCGAGCACTGGGAGCCAATCAATGGGATTCCAATCAGTCGGAGCTGGATCATTCAAGCTGGGATTTGTGATGTGGCTCACAGACTCACGGGGGCTAGAGGCACGTTAAAGAGCTGAAATCAGCCAATCCTCATTTCCATTCTGCTCCTCATTGTCCAGTCTGGAGGCAGTGAAAAGCAGGACCACTTTGTTTTCAACACTGGCCTGTGCTTCCCACTCGTTCTCTCCCTCAAAAACAGCAGAATGCTTACTCTCCCCTCCCTCCCTCACTCCGACAATCGGGAAACGCACCAGGTTTTCATGTTTCTGATTTCTCTCTTCGCTTTGTGAGCCTTTCCAATTGGATTGGGTTTGTCATGGACAAAAACACAAAACTAACCGATTGGCTGTTTGTTAGCCAGCTTACCCCAGGCCCCCAGCGGTATCCCTTGGTAACCCAGCAGATCTCCGTGTGACAGATCGGGCATCGTAACCAGTCACATCCGTCCTTCAGCTGCACAATGATCTTACACTTTGGACAATGCATTGCCTCTCCCTTCTGAACCATTGTCTGCAAAGTGGACATTTCAATTGTTATTAATGCAAAGGTACATTTGTTTAAAAAAAAAAGGTGTTTGTTGTGCTCCTCTAAGATAATCAGCTGAGTTTTGGAATATGTTCACTTACACAGCCTGAGGCAGCTTACATTCATACACAATGAGCCCGTCTCTACATTTGAACCTTGCACCGTTGTTCGAGAAAGGTTCTGGGAGTTTATGGTTCCCTGTTGCTGCTTCCTTGCCAATTGGCCCACTCACTAACTGACCTGCACCCTGAGAGTGTAAATCGGTGTTTGAAATTTGGCGTTCCTGTAGTTGGTCCTGATGAGTGCAAGGTGAAAAGCTTCAGCAACATGTCTCTTCCCAACGTCAGAAAGACTTAGCATCTCATACCGAGTTTATACTTCTGGGGTATCACCCAATCCTGCCCCTGCCTTGGATCAGAAGATGATGTGGAACAGGAGCAGGAGTAAGCCACCCAGCTGAGTAGGGTTGTTTCATTATTCAAAATGATCATCAGTGATCTCTTGCCTCACCCCCACTTCCCCCATTCCCTGCTCCCCTAAGTGAATGAAACTCCATCAATTTCAGACTGGAATAAACTCAACAACTGAACAAAGAACAAAGAAAATTACAGCACAGGAACAGGCCCTTCGGCCCTCCAAGCCTGCGCCGATCCAGATCCTCTATCTAAACCTGTCACCTATTTTCCAAGAATCTGTATCCCTCTGCTCCCTGCCCATTCATGTATCTGTCTAGATACATCTTAAATGATGCTATCGTGCCCGCCTCTACCACCTCCGCTGGCAACGTGTTCCAGGCACCCACCACCCTCTGCGTAAAGAACTTTCCACGCATATCTCTCTTATACTTGTCCCCTCTCACCTTGAAATCGTAACCCCTAGTAATTGAGTTCCCCACTTTGGGAAAAAGCTTCTTGCTATCCACCCTGTCTGTACCTCTCATGATTTTGTAGACCTCAATCAGGTCCCCCCTCAACCTCCGTCTTTCTAATGTAAATAATCCTAATCTACTGAACCTCTCTTCATAGCTAGCGCCCTCCATACCAGGCAACATCCTGGTGAACCTCCTCTGCACCCTCTCCAAAGCATCCACATCCTTTTGGTAATGTGGCGACCAGAACTGTATGCAGTATTCCAAATGTGGTCGAACCAAAGTGCTATACAACTATAACATGACCTGCCAACTCTTGTACTCAATACCCCGTCCGATGAATGAAAGCATGCCGTATGTCTTCTTGACCACTCTATCGACCTGCATTGCCACCTTCAGGGTACAATGGACCTGAACACCCAGATCCCTCTGTGCATCAATTTTCCCCAGGGAACTTCCACAACTTTCCGAGATTGAGATTTCCAAAGATTCACAACTCTCTGACTGCAGAAATTCCTCCTTATCTCAGTCATTTAAAGGCCGACCCTGGGTTCTAGATTCTGCAGCTAGGATTGTGAGATGTTGTATTATGATTCTCCTTACTAACTCACTCACAAATGCTCTATATTTACTATACTGCGTTTCCATTTACTCACTCATAAAACTGCGTTTTTGCGGAACATTTTACTCTTGCAAGATAAACTCAATTAAACATCCTAGGCTGCCAACCTATTACTATTCCTTTATACCTTTCAATTCTTATCAACCCCATTCTGCAAGCAGCGTTTAGACCTGTTTCTGTATCAAAGGCTACCCCTGAATAAGTGTTAATACTGTAACCTACTCAGAAACAATGTGTCATTGTGTCTCCATACCTCACTCGAAACTATGGAAAGATTATAATATTAATTAGTCCTTAACCATCTCTCGGGACCTGAATAGGCTGCAGAACATTAAACTGTTTCCTTCACCAGCAGTCCCTACAGCTTTTTGTCTCTTTGTAATTTCCATATATACTACCTACTTCCATAACACTGTACTACCTACTTCTAACTTTTACTTAGGACCAACACCTTGTACTAATATATGGATTTATAGTTTTTAAGTACATATTAAATAGGGCCACTACCCACTTGAAAAAACTTACTATCAAAACAGCGCTTCTGTGAAACTGCATGAGTAAGTGTGCAAGAACTGTCAAAAACTGGCACAGACTGGGCGACCGCTTCGCAGAACATAAGAACTCGGAGCAGGAGTAGGCCATCTGACCCCTCGAGCCTGCCCCGCCATTTAATAAGATCATGGTTGATCTTTTTGAGACTCAGCTCCACTTACCCGCCCACTCACCATAACCCTTAAGTAAGGAGACCAAAACTGCACACAGTACTCCAGGTGTGGCCTCACCAGGACCCTATACATCTGCAGCATGGCCTCCCTGTTTTTAAACTCCATCCCTCGAGCAATGGCAGACAAAATTCCATTTGCCATTTTAATCACCAGCTGCACCTGCAATCCTACTTTCAGCGATTCATGCACAAGGACACCCAAGTGCCTTTGCACAGCAGCGTGCTGCAATTTTTTACCATTTAAAACATCGTCCATTTTGCTGTTATTCCTATCAAAATGGATGACCTCACACTTATCAACATTGTACTCCATCTGCCAGACCTTTGCCCACTCACTTAGACTATCTTTATCCCTCTGCAGACTTTCAGTGTCTTCTGCACACTTTGCTCTACCACTCATCTTAGTGTCATCTGCAAATTTTGACACCTCACTTAGTCCCCAACTCCAAATCATCGACGTTCTGCTCACAAAAAAGACCCTGAACTACCTGCTGCCTGCCACTTTAACACACCACCCTGCTCCCTGGCCAACATCTCTGTCTCTGGCTTGCTGCAGTGTTCCAGAGAAGCCCAACGCAGGCTGGAGGAACAACACCTCATTTTCCACTTGGGGACCCTGCAGCCCTCCGGACTCAATATTGAGTTCAATAATTTTAGGGCCTAAACTCTCCCATGTCCCAGCCCCCCACCCCACACACCAGGCCTTGTTACCACATAGCCTGCCATTACACACCCCTGTTGTTAGTCACTAACAGTCCCCATTAACAACTACTCACCCTCCCAGCCTGATCGTTAGCAACTCCTTTGTCTGTCCAACTGACTTTCTCTCTCTTTGGGCTCTATCCTATCGTTTACTCCCTACCCCACCCACCTCCCTATTTTCTGCATTTACATTGACATTTTCCCAGCCACCATCAGTTCTGAGGAAGGGTCAGCGGACCCGAAACGTTAACTTTGTTTTTTCCTCCACAGATGCTGCCAGACCTGCTGAGCTTTTCCAGCAACTTTGTTTTTGTCAAAAACCGGCAATGGTAGATGAAATCTCACGACCCAGCAGAGGGAGATCAGTTTAATATCCTCTAAACTTTTACTTGGTTCCTACTTATTTAGATCATATGGGCCTAGTATTTTCACTAACATTACGAACTTTAAAGACAAAAGGACTAACACTCTTAATTATGCAAGCTCAGGCCTGACAGATATTCTAATCCAATGAGGAGTAACAGCCAGCATTGAGCAAGTGCTTAAACCATTTCCTGCTTCCCCAGATGTCACCCAAACTTGTGTACAATAGGTACAACTATGTGACACCATAATCCTAAAATTTTAATGTATGTCTGTATAAAAGAGGCTACTGTGAAACTGGAACAAAAACAGAAGTTGCTGGAAAAGCTCAGCAGGTCTGGCAGAGTCTGTGAAGAGAAAGTCAGAGTTAATATTTCAGGTCCGGTGACCCTTCCTCAGAACACTTCTACTGCCACTTCGAACCACGCTACTGCAGATGCTCAATAAAGAGGCTATTTTCACCCCTCACTGATCTCGTTCGCTATTGAACACAATCCTACAGGCTCTCAGTGTTCTACTCTGTGGATTACCCGAGCACCCTGTGGATCTCACGGATCGAATCTCTCACACTCCAGCAGCACGTTCTACACCTATCAGTGTAGGACAACCTCTTTCATCAGTCAGAGGATCAGGGGGGAGTGAGAAAAGGCAGGGTTGTGAAGCTGAGGATTATTAGATTGGCCATGACCTCATTGAATGGCAGAGAGGACTTAATGGGCCAAATTTCTACGTTTAATCTAGTGAACCTTTTACTACACTGTTTACCCATCTATCAACCCGAGCTCAGACTAAACTCTGCTGTTTGTGTCCTAACTTGCATCAAGTTCAATTCACTTAATGCCCACTGTTCTCACGGACCTACATTAGCTCCTGGTTCAGCCACACCTCAATTTTAGAATTCTCACCTGGTTTTATTATCACCGCATGCTCTCACACTCTCCTTGTATCTCTGTAAACCCCTGCAGTTCCTCCAGTTCTGGTGCCTTCTCCACCACAATCCCTACACTGGCAGACATGCCTTCAGGTGCCAGTCTCTGAGCTCCCACATCTATTATCTAACCCCCTCTTCTCTCCTTCCAAACATCCTGTAAATTTATAACCAAGCCTTTTGCATCCTACACCCATATCTTCTCTTCCAATTCAGTCTTTGTTAATGCTCCTGTAAAGCACTTTAGAACATTTTGCTACTCTGTAGGAGTTACATAAATGCACATTGTTGTTGTACTCGAGTCAATGGTGGGATGGGAAGAGAGGAAGGGAGTGAAAGCAGCAAATGGGAGGTGAGGGGCAGCATGGGCTGGAACTCTGGACCAAACCCAAACCTTTGCAAGGATTGGAATGTTCTTCACTCCGGGCAGGGGAGCTCACTTTTAACCCATTGCCTGTACTCCCAGACACAGGGACAAGGTAAAGGATTTTCTGCACAGTCCTCCTCTCGAACTATACCCCTCGCCTCAGCCAGGCCTTCCCCAATGCTGCTCGAACCCAGGATTTACCTTCAGCATCTCGGTGGTTCGGCGAGCTGCAGAATCACTCACTGCCCGATTACGCAGGTCGTCCTGGTATTGTTTACAGTTCATACCTTCATGGATTGCCTACAGCAGGGAACCGGGCCGGGGGTGGGGGTGGAGAATGAGAGAAAGAGAGGGAGAGTGGGGAAGAGAAAGAAGGGGGGGGGGGGGGGGGGGTGGAGAGAGAGGGAGAGAAAAACACAGAGAGAACATCGCACACTGCTCTCTGAGAGGCTGGACAACGGCTCCATCATTGAGGCTGGCACACATTACAAAAGACCGTATCAATTAGAAGCAGGAGTAGGGCATTCAGACATTCAGCCTGCTCCACCATTCAATAAGATGATCGCCTCAATTCCACTTTCCTGCCTGATACCTAACTCAGTTAACACAGTTGCCCTGCCTCTCCTCACTCAGAGAATCAGGTTCGAACCACACTGAGGCTAGAAAATCCCATCGAGAGTATAACCAAGCAGCATTATAATGTTCCACAGTCTGACATTCCAGGAAACTGGACTGGAGACACGCATATTCCTGGCAGACAGGGGGGATGCTAGCTGTATCAGCTGTGATCTTGCTCACAACTCCCATGTTCACAGAACTGGGAGTCTGGACTTGATGGAGTTTAGAAGGATGAGGGGGGATCCAATTGAAACTTATGGAATCCTGAGAGGCCAGGATAGAGTGAACGTGGAGAAGATGTTTCCACTAGTAGGAGAAACTAGGACCCGAGGGCACAGCCTCAGAGTGAGAGGATGACCCTTTAGAACTGAGATGAGGAGGAATTTCTTCAGCCAGAGGGTGGTGAATCTGTGGAACTCATTGACACTGAGGGCTGTGGAGGCCAAGTCATTGAGTGTATTTCAGACAGAGATAGATAGGTTTTTGATTAGTAAGGGATCAAGGGTTACAGGAGAATGGGATTGAGAAACATATCAGCCATGGCTGAATAGCAGACAGATTTGATGGGACGAATGGCCTAATTCTGCTCTATAACTTATGCTTTATGTTGGTACGAAACCTGATACCTGGGTTCTGCTGCTTTCCCATTCTCAGGGTGGCAGGGCTGACAGACATACAGCAGGGAAGAGATGGAAAACAGCAGACATTTGCATCCCACCAAGTCTAATCCCACTCTCCTGTCAAGCTTTATCTTGAGAGCTAGAACGTGAAGGGAAGGGTGTGAAGTTTCAGGTGGGCAATGCTCCCATCAGCAGGGATTGGATTAGATCGTGGCGAAACATAGACCACCTGAATGATCCCCATACTGGAAGATTTAACTTAAGAGATAAAATCACAGAATCAATTAATTCCCCTTAATGACAGATAGAACCTCAGTTTAATATTTCATCCAAAGGAAAACACATCCGACAGCGCGGCGCGCCCTCCGCGCGGGCCCCTGTCTTTGTAATTGCTGTGGTTAGTTAAATGGTTGTTTGAACTAAATCAGTTGACATTTACCTTACAGAGCAGACAGTTGAGCTTCAAGCAGATGGGGCAGCAAAACTCATTGACTGTGTCTTCGTAGATACACCAGCCCTTGCAGTCTGCTGTTTTGCAGTGGTAACTGTTTTCACTGCTGCTCTCTGCAACATTCATACTGCGGTCGAGGAATTTATCATAGTCTTCGTGGGAAACCAGCTGAGGAGTATAAAACCAAGATCAGAGATCGTAACGTTCACCTCCCTGTGTCTGACAAATTCCCGTTCACTCAGTGTCAGCCAATGTTCTGAAAAAGGGTCACTGGACTTGAATCATTAATTCTGCTTTCTCTCTTGACAGATACTGCCAGACCTGCTGACTTTCTCCAGATACTTCGGATTTTGTTTTGGATTTCTAGCATGCATAATTCTTTTGTTTCATTGTAGCCTGTGGTTGTTGTTTTACATTGGCTACTGGTTCAGCGGCACCTTGATTTTAAAATTCTCCTCCTGGTTTTCAATTCCCACCCTTTATCTCTGTTGGCTCAGCAGCGTTGTGAAGCTGAAGGAGATATCAGTGACCTTCTCATTCTCACCTCTTGTACATCCCTGACATTAATCATTCCACCAATGGCAGCTATTCCTTCAGCTACCTTAGCCCTAAGCTCTAGGATTCCCTCCCTAAACCTTTCTGCCTTTCTCTCACTCTCTACCCACTTCTTAATCATGCTTTTTAAAACCTAACAGTGCTAATATTCTCTCATCTGCCTGGTATTGCTTATGTGAAACACCTTGTGTTTACTAAGATAGAAGTGCTACGTAAATACAAGGTGTTGGTTAAAAATGTTTAGTTATTGATACTCCAATGCTAATCCCGATAAAATTCATTGTTGGATGGTACAGCATGGGAGTATTCCTGGAAAGAAAAACATTTTGTTGAAGCTTTACATCCTGCCCTCATCAGGACAAATTGCAAGAATATCAAAAAGAAAAGAAACAATACTTTATCCTGTGTGAGAAGTGAGTGATTGGCCAGTGGACTGTGATTGGTACAGGAGGCACCATGAAAGATGAGATAACAAGGTGTTGAGCTGGATGAACACAGCAGGCCAAGCAGCATCAGAGGAACAGGAAGGCTGATGTTTCGGGCCTAGACCCTTCATCAGAAATGGGGGAGGGGAAGGGGGTTCTGAAATAAATAGGGAGAG